CTAGCCTTAATAAAAAAAAAATCTACACAAAGGAAAGGCCATCAGAATCACAGGAGTCTTCTAAACTCAAACCTGCAAGTCAAGGAGAACTTGGAGTGAAGTATTTCAAGTCCTAAAGGAAAACAACCTCAAACCCAGATATGCACCCCACAAAACTATCTTTCAAAATTTATGGAAAAATAAGATACTTCTGTGACAAAGAATATCTGAAGAAATTCATGACCACCAAACCAGCACTCCAAAATGTTTTGAAGCATATTCTAGAAAGACATAACAAGAATTACAACTCCATGAATTTCAACAGAATGAATCCACCAGGCAAGGCAAGAAATTAAACAGAAGAGGAAAGAAGGAAGCCAACAACAGGAAAATAGCGTGACAAGGATAATTCAATATCAGTTATAACCATTAATGTTAATGGTTTCAATTCATCAATCAAAAGAAACAGACTGGTAAAATGGATCAAGAAGCAAGATCCAACAATATGTTGCATATGAGAAACACATTTAATTCAAAAAGAAATTTATAGACTGAAAGTCAAAGGATGGAAAACAATACTCTATGTTACAGAAACCCAGAAAAAAGCAGGGTAGCTATTCTATTTGCAGACAAACTGTATTTCAAGCCAAGACTTATTAAGAGAGACAAAGAAAGTGATGACATCCTTTAAGAGGAACAATCCAAGAGGAAGAAATAACAATCATAAATATATATGCACCAAATACTTGTGCACCCAACTATAAAACAAATATTAACAGACACGAAAAATCAAATAAGCTCTAATATAGTTGTTATGAGAGACTTCAATACCCCACTGTCACAAATAGACAGATCAACTAGACAAAAAATTAACAATGAAATTTTAAAACTGAACCAAACTTTTGAACAAATGGATTTAGTAGATGTCTACAGAGTGTTCCACCCCACAACATCAGAATACATATTCATTCTTCTCATCTGCATATGAACATTCTCCAAAATAGACCACATATAGTCCATTTAACATGCATAAGTAAATGCAAAGGAATTGAAATTATCCCACACATATTATCAGACCATAGTGCAAAGAAATTGGAAATCAATGTCAAAAGAAACCTCAAGAACTTCACAAACACATGGAAATTGAATAACACTCTCTTGAACAACCAATGGGTCACAGATAAAATTAAAGAAGAAATCAGACAGTTTCTACAATTGAATGATAATACCAATACAACATACTGGGACTTACAGGACACGATGAAAGACACCTATGAGGAAAATTTGTCATGGTGAATATCCATATTAAGAAAACACAGCACAGAGAGAGAGAGAGAGAGAGAGAGA